AGATCAATCCCATTCACAATAGCTACAAAACAATCAGATACCTTGGAATAAACTTAACCAAGGACGTTAAAGATCTCTACGATGAGAATTCCAAAACCTTAAAGAATGAAATAGAAGAGGATACCAAGAAATGGAAAAATCTTCCATGCTCATGGATTGGAAGAATCAATATCATCAAAATGTCCATTCTCCCAAAAGCAATTTATAGATTCAATGCAATACCAATCAAGATACCAAAGACATTCTTCTCAGACCTGGAAAAACGATGCTGAAATTTATAAGGAGACACAGGAGACCTCGAATAGCTAAAGCAATCTTGTACAACAAAAACAAAGCCAGAGGCATCACAATACCAGATTTCAGGACATACTACAGGGCAGTTGTAATCAAAACAGCATGGTACTGGTACATAAACAGATGGATAGACCAATGGAACAGAATTGAAACACCAGAAATCAACCCAAACATCTATAGCCAACTTATATTTGACCAAGGATCTAAAACCAATTCCTGGAGCAAGGACAGTCTATTCAATAAATGGTGCTGGGAAAACTGGATTTCCACATGCAGAATCAGGAAGAAAGACCCCTACCTTTCACCTTACACAAAAATTCACTCAACATGGATTAAAGACTTAAATCTATGACCTGACACCATCAAATTATCAGAGAGCATTGGAAAAACCCTGCAAGATATAGGTACCAGCAATGACTTCTTGGAAACACCCCAGAAGCACAGGCAGTCAAAGCCAAAATTAACATTTGGGATTACATCAAATTGAGAAGTTTCTGTACTGCAAAAGAAACAGTCAGGAGACTGAAGAGACAACTGACAGAATGGGAAAAAATATTTGCAAACTATGCAACTGATAAAGGGTTGGTAACCAGAATCTACAAAGAAATCAAGAAACTCCACAACATCAAAACAAACTTAAGAGATGGGTGAAGGACCTCAATGGACATTTTTCTAAAGAGGAAATCCAAATGGCCAACAGACACATGAAAAAATGTTCAAGATAACTAGCAATCAGGGAAATGCAAATCAAAACCACAAGGAGGTTCGACCTCATCCCGGTTAGAATGGCTCACATTCAGAAATCTACCAACAATAGATGCTGGCGAGGATGTGGGGAAAAAGGGACACTAACCCCCTGTTGGTAGGAATGCAAATTGGTTAAGCCACTATGGAAGTCAGTCTGGAGATTCCTCAGAAACCTGAATATAACCCTACCATACAACACAGCCATCCCACTCCTTGGAATTTACCCAAAGGAAATTAAATTGGCAAACAAAAAAGCTGTCTGCACATTAATGTTTATTGCAGCTCAATTCACAACAGCTAAGACCTGGGACCAACCTAAATGCCCATCAACAGTAGACTGGATAAAGAAATTGGCCGGCGCCGCGGCTCACTAGGCTAATCCTCCGCCTAGCGGCGCCGGCACACCGGGTTCTAGTCCCGGTTGGGGCGCCGGATTCTGTCCCGGTTGCCCCTCTTCCAGGCCAGCTCTCTGCTGTGGCCAGGGAGTGCAGTGGAGGATGGCCCAGGTGCTTGGTCCCTGCACCCCATGGGAGACCAGGAGAAGCACCTGGCTCCTGGCTCCTGCCATCGGATCAGCGCGGTGCGCCGGCTGCAGCGCGCTGGCCGCGGCGGCCATTGGAGGGTGAACCAACGGCAAAGGAAGACCTTTCTCTCTGTCTCTCTCTCTCACTGTCCACTCTGCCTGTCAAAAAAAAAAAAAAAAAAAAGAAATTATGGGACATGTACTCTATAGAATACTATACAGCAGTCAAAAACAACGAAACCCAGTCATTTGCAACAAGATGGAGGAATTTGGAAAACATCATGCTGAGTTAATTAAGCCAGTCCCAAAGGGACAAATATCATATGTTCTCCCTGATCGATGACAACTCCACTGAGCACCAAAGGGGAAACTTGTTGAAATGAAATGGACACTATGAGAAACAGTGACTTGATCAGCTCTTGTCCTGATGGTTGATGTACAATGTAATACTTTATCCATTTTAGTTTTTTGTTGTTGTTGTTCTAGTACCATTGGTTGAACTCTGTAATTAACACACAATTATTCTTAGGGTTTAAATTTTAACTGAAAAGTGATCCCTGTTAGGAATTTGGAAAAAATTATGCTGAGTGAAATAAGCCAATCACTAAGGGACAAATACCACTTGTTCTCCTTGATAGGTGACAACTGAGCACCAAAAAGGAAACCTGTTAAAGTGAAATGAACACTATGAGAAATGGTGACTTGATCAGCCATCACCCTGACTGTTGATGAGCAACTTGATATGTTATCCCTCTTAGTATTTTTTTGTTTGTTCTACTTAATACTTTTGGTTGAATACTGTAATCAATACACAATTCTTCTTAAGTGCTGAAACTTAACTGAAAAGTAATCACTGTTAAATATAAGAGTGGGAATAAGAGAGGGAAGAGATGTGCAATTCCGGACATGCTCAAGCTGACTTACCTCAAACGGTAGAGTTAGAAACATACCAGGGGATTCCAATTCAATCCCATCAAGGTGGCATGTACCAATGCCATCTCACTAGTCCCAGTGATCAATTTCTGTTCACAATTGATCATAATGATAGGACTAAGAACCAAAGGGATCACATAAACAAGAATAGTGTCTGCAAATACTAGCTGATAGAAAAAAAAAAAGGAGAGAAGGATCCAACATGGGAAGTGAGATACACAGCAAACCCATAGAATGGCAGATGTCCTAAACAGCACTCTGGCCTCAGAATCAGCCCTTAAGGCATGCAGATCCAGCTGAAAAGCCATGAGAGTATGGAAAGTCAAGACACTCTGGGGGAAAAAAAACCTAAATGAAAGATCTTCGCAAGTGAGATCCCAGTGGAAAGAACAGGTCATCAAAGAAGGAGGTACATTTCTCTGAGGGGAGGAAAGAACTGCCACTTTGACCATGGCCTTGCTAAAAATTATCAAGAGTCAGTGAACTCAGGGGGCTTCCATAGCCTTGGCAGCTCATGACAAGAGCCTAGGGTGATTACTGATGCCATAGACAGGAGTGTCAATTGGTAAAGTCAACAACAGGAGTCACTGTGCACTTACTCCTCATGTAGGATCTCTGTCCTTAGTGTGCTGTACATTGAGATTTAATGCTATAATGAGTACTCAAACAGTATTTTTCACTTTATGTTTCTGTGTGGGAGCAAACTTTTGAAATCTTTACTTAATGTTTGCTAAACTGATCTTCTGTATATAAGAGAAACGAAAATGAATCTTGATGTGAATGGAAGGGGAGAGGGAGTGGGAAAGGGGAGGTTTGCAGGTGGGAGGGACGTTATGGGGGGGAAGCCATTGTAACCCATAAGCTGTACTTTGGAAATTTATATTCATTAAATAAAAGTTTAAAAAAGAAATCAGACTTGGGAAATCTGACCTGGCGGGTAACAGCTGCACTCTGTAACACGACTGTGAAGGGCTTCTACCTACCCACCGACTGACTCTGCCATCTCCTTCTTTCACTCACTGAAGTTTACTGAGCCAAATTTCAAACTCCACCACCTCCCAATATGCCCTTAAATTTCCCACAGGCACTGTGCTCTCTGCCTCTTGGTTTTTCCTTCCAATCTAGCCCACTGAAATGCTAAATTACTTGATTGATCATTATAATTGTATAAATTTATTGAACTATCACTCTGTGCCCTATAAACTATCATTCATTTTTTAATTTTAAAGAGCTGTGAATGCTAACTAAACTTATTTGATCATCATCTATTGAATTATCACACTGTACTCCATGAACATGTACTATTACAATTTAAAAACAGGGATGGACATTTGGCACAGCAGTTCAGATGCCCTTGGGATGCCCCCATCCCATATTGCAGTGCCTGAGTTAAGTCCTGGCTCCACTCCTAACTCCAGCATCCTGCTAATATGTATTCTGGGGAGGCAACAGATAATGGCTCAAGTAGTTGGGTCCTTGCTACCCATGTGGAAGACTTGTATAGAGTTCCTGGTTCCCAGGCATTTGAGGAGTTAACTAGTGGATGAGAGACTGATTTCTCGCCTTCTCCCCTCTCCATCCCCTTTCCTCTCCCTCTTCTTCATCCTCCCTCTCCTCCAATTTCTCCTCCCCCTCTCTTTATCTTTCTCTCTCTCTGCTTCTCCAATCAAATGAATAAACAAGAACTTTCTAAAATTAAGTTAAAAAGTAAATAAATCCCTAGCATGACGCTGCCTCTACTAAGGCAGCCCAGATTCTCCCAAGCAGAACTAATTTTCCTTCCTTGCTCCTTCGAGTACTTTATTTAAAACGCCATGAAAACACAAGCCATCCTGTCTCATGTTGTGGATTTTTAATTCTAGTTTTCTAGAATAATTCATTTAAATTATTTGTAACTATGTGGGGGAAAAACATGTTCAAATTTACAGAGCAACTCTTTTGTCCACCATCAATCTTAATCTTTTCCCTAAAAGTATTTTTCAAGTCCCTGTGGCACAGACCTGGCAGTACAGACCTTAACATGTTCATGGTAACTATTATGAAGAAGTTGTGCATAATTTCAAAAACTTTTGCACCAAAATAAATTTGTCTTTTAATATTACTTTTCCATGATCTTTTTGAAGTACCTTCATATTATGCATTTAAATTACCTGTTTCATTATAAGACTATAAATCCTAGAAGGAAGAATTCAACTTGTCCAATTTTCTCTCTCTTAATAGCTACAGAGTTCAATAATTATGGCACATGCTACATAAATGTAAGGAGAAATATTAACTGCATGAGATCTGTGGTTGCCACAACTTTGATTTACAATATGAAAGAAAAAGAGAATTTCAGAAATGATGACTATTTTAAAGCTCTGTGTTTCGTGTATTTAAAAATTCCCCTCATTTTGAACAATCTAAGCCAGAGAATCTGTTTTTCTGTTTTCTCCTCTGAATTCTATAAATTATATGAAGACAGGAATTCTGTAAACAAACTTGAACTGTTCTTTCATTGCAGCAACTGGTAACAGGCAAGATGCAGGGCTCAGAGTTGACTTTGGAGAAAGTAGACTTCATCTGGACAGGAGCACAGCCCCTAGCTGGCGGTAATTCCAGCGGGGAACGGTAATTAGATGTGTTCAGATTCTGACCATCTGAACTATAGGAAGCTTCTAAAGTTGATTTGTGATGGAGGACTGTGGTCAAGAAAGGAACGTGCACACCAGTGATTTGGATATACTCCAGAACGTGGCCTTTCTGGACCCCAGTACATGTAATGCTAGGAGAAACAGAGTAATCTTCCCCTTTGCCCTAGAGGTGTTTCTTCGAAACTTATTGAGAAAGAACAGCTCATTGATAATGTATCCACCTAGAATTCCTAAACCCATAGTCAATTAACAATTTGATATTTTGCCTTTACATTAGAACACCAAAATGTTCCACCAAAAATCAGTGCTTCTGTTAGCTCCCTGAGCTTTAAGCACTGAGAGTGCATCTGAACCAAAAGAAACAGGTGACCAGTGAACAGTCAACACTTCCCTCCCACTTGGCCATGACATCAGCAGAGCCTCCTTCACAGCAGCTTCCAGAAATGCCTGAAAATATGGCTTTGGCTACTTTCAGAAGAGAAGTGATAGCATTTGTAGAAAATAACTTAAAAGTCCAGGTTATTGAGTTGGATCCCAGGCCAATCTTTTTGGGACATAAACACATTTTAAAAAGTCTTGTTATCATTATGCAAGGCCATTATTGTACAAGAATGACTAAACTGCCTGGGGGAATGAAGCAAAGGAGGAACAGTCCAGCCCAGCCTCTCCAGGCATCATTGAGTTCATCAATAGGACAAATACCATGTTGTCAGTCAAGTTCACGTACGCTGGAGATTTGGCTATGTTGAGAAATCTCTGAGCATGACTAGAGCCTAGGGAGATTACTGACGCCATAAACAAGAGTGTCAAATTTTTAAGTCAACAACAGGAGTCACTGTGTACTTACTTCTCATGTGGGATCTGTCAGTGTGCTGTCCAATATGAAGTAATGCTATAACTAGTACTGAAACAGTATTTACACTTTGTATTTCTGTGTGGGTGCAAACTGATGAAATCTTTACTTTATACTAAATCAATCTTCTGTATATAAGATAACTGAAAATGATCTTGATGTGAATGGAATGGGAGAGGGAGTGGGAGATGGGAGGGGGTGTGAGTGGGAGGGAAATTATTGGAGGGGGAAGCCATTGTATTCATTAACTGTACTTTGGAAATTTATATTTACTAAATAAAAAATAAATTAAAAAAAGAAATCTCTGGCATATAACATAACTGCTCAACTTTAAAAATATTTATGAGAGTAATATGAAAACATAATTACCTTGTTTTATGCAAAATCCTATCTATATTAGCATTTGAAATAGCAAGCATAGTCTCGGGCAGTTTATCTTCCTATTTATCCACAGTGAATTGCTATGCCAAAGCCTTTAATTATGAGTGACACACTTCAGATGTGCTCTTCTGAAACAACTTCTGCACTAGAATAAGGGTGCGATATTGGTTTGAAGAATCTTGAAAGCTGACAAACTCTGTCAACCCCTAAATCTTCTATTCACTGGCTTTGTACCCCTAGTTGAGACTCCAAGCCTCAGTTTCCTGACCTGTAAAATACGGTAAATTCTACCTACCATGCAGTGTGATAAGTGATACCATGCACAATGCTTCATTTACAAAGTGCTCAAGAAGTACATACTGTCATTTTTCAATCCTGGTATTTAGGAGGTAAAACCATGATAAATGGCAAACAGGCATTTAATGTCCAGCCTGGCTGGAATTACAACCAACTTCTGTCCCCTCCCCATTTTAAAAACTCAGTCCGTGGTGGTTCACAGCAATAAAGAGTGACTGCCTACTGTTACTGAAGCCTCACACCATCCTAAGCACATTGAGTAATGGTCAGATCCTCATTTGTTCCTCCTGAAAACAAGCTTTATGCTTGTTTTCATAAGAAAGAAACTGAAGTGCAAACAGTTTAAACAACTTGCCTGGAGTCACACAGCTGGTAAGTATCAGCTTCCAGGCCTGGACTCAGAGGCCTGACTTCTCTCAGCATCCCCTGCCCCCTTGACACCTACCAGGAGGAGCACACACAAAGCTCCCTGGGAGTTTCGTTCCTGCTGAGCAGGAAAGTAGAAGCTGTCCTCAGTGGGTGACAACTACCGCTAGACTGCTGCCACTTCAATATACAAGTTCCATGAAGTCACTTTCAGTGATTAAAACCACCACCTCATCTTTATATAAGATCTTCAGGAACTATCAGGACATGGATTTAATATTACACAAGGATCAAAAAGTTCACAGAAATGGAATGAAAACCTAGGTTTACTGAGGTCAGCCGTGTGGCATAAGAGGTAAAGCCGCCACTGTGACGTCAGTATCCCACATGGACATCAGGTCTAGTCCGGGATGCTCCACTTCCAATCCAGCTCCCTGATAATGCGCCTGGGAAAGCAGCAGAGACTGGCACATTTGCTTGGGCCCCCTCATCCCTATGGGAGATTTGGGTGAAACTCCTGGCTCCTGGCCTCAGCCTGGCCCAGCCCCAGGCATTGTAGCATTTGGGGAGTGAACCAGCAGATGGAGATCTGCATGTGCACACACGCATGTGTGTGTGTGTGTGGGGGGGGTCTTCCTCTGTCTGTTACGCTGACCTTCAAATAAATAAATAAATCTTTTCAAAAATGAAGTTAACTTTGGTGCCAAAAAGTTTTAAAATCCATGTACACAAAGGTCTCTAAAATGCTCATGGAAAATGTGCACTAGGAAAAACTACATGGATTTCAATTGTTTTATGTCAAATAAACTTATCTTTCAATTCCATTGGCCATGAATTTTGTGACCCTCATGTTTGCAAGTTCATAGAACTGTTAAAGGAAAGCTACCTTCTTACCCCAAGATTCTTGCCCGGTATCCAAGAGAGAATCTCTACGACCAAGCTCCTCCATGTTCACTGTGTCCGTGGAAAGAGAAATTCTCTGTGGTTGGGAGGAGAGGGCTCCTCCTCAAGCTCCACCCAACGACTTATTCAGGATTCAGATCCCCAGTGGAACATCACTTCTTCACAAGGCTTCTTGTTCCCCTTTGCCCACATGCCCCTGGCCAAGTCACTCACTCATCCAGCTTTGTAGCTTTCAGTATCATCCAAATGATGTCAATTTCCAAATTTACACCTCCAACCCAGCTTTGCTTCTGCATGCCAAATGAAATAAAATATTTCCATTTGGATGGATCGCAGACACTTCCTGCTTAATATGGCCAACACTGGATTCCTGATCTTTGCCCCAAAAACTGCTCATGTTCAGTATTCTCCATCTCAATTACTGGCTCCGCTACCCTTCATCTGGCCAGGCCAGATGTTCTCTAGTTCATCCATGACTTCTCTCTTTGTCTCATAAATCTCATTCAATCTAGCAGGAGTTCCTGTTGCCTTGACCTTCAAAATCTATCGTAAATTCTAGACTTCCCGATGCCTCTACTGTTACCACCCTGGTACAAACGATTATCTTCCTCCTAGACTGCTGATCTCCTGGTTTCCCTCTTTAACCCTTAAAATAGTTTTATCACTACAGTCAAGAGTGATCTTCTATAAATAAGATGGTGTCATATCTCTGCTCGAAACCCTCCATGGCGCCTGCATCCATCTGTGTAGATGATACAATGACCTATAAGTGCTACAGGATCTGCCTCACATCATCTCTCTGACCTAGACCCTTGACCTCTGTTCACTCCATTTCAGTCATGCTAGAATTCTATCAGTTCCTTGAACTCATCAGCAATGTTCCTACTTCAGGGCCCTCCTCCAATATTCACTCATTCTTTTCCCTCTTTGATTTCAAGCTTCTGGACATATGTCACCCTCTCAGGGAGACCCTCTGTCTCTAGACCATCACAGACTCCCCCTCAATGCTGCCTCTGTCCTCTGCATTATGTTTCTCCTTGGTGTTCTCCTTGTAATAATCACAGGGTTTGAATAGGTTTCTCCCCTCCAAAAACTCACACTAAGATTTAATCTCCATGGTGAGATATTAACAGGTAAGAGCAGGTAGGAAATTTAACTAGGGACCTGGGCTCTGGCCATCATGAATGGGTTAATCCATTTATATGATTAATGGACTAATGGATTATCTCAAGACTAGATCTGCTATCAAAGCTGGAGTGACTTGGGCTTCTCCTGTGCTCCATCTCTTGCTGTGTGATGCTCTGCTAACCCCAGGACTTCACCAGGAAGACCATCACCAGACAGATGAGGCTGCAACCGTGGACGAGACTGTGAGCTGAAATAAACCTCTTTGCTTTATAACTTACCCAGTCTGTGGTGCTGTGGTATTAACAAAAGAAAACATACTAGGAATTTTTATTATAACTGTATTATTACTATTACTATTATTATATTATTATATATTATATTACATATATACTGTTATGTTATATATAATATACTGTATATTACTACATATATACTATACTTTTATTAGTGTATCTGTGGCTTGAGAGGCACAGAGTCAGAGAGAGACATTGAGAGGAAAAACACAGAGAGCTCCCATCTGCTAATTCACTCCTCAAATGTCCCGACAGCCAGGACAGGGCCAGACTGAAATAGGAGCTGGGAACTCATTTCAGGTCTCCCATGTTGGGGGTGACAGGAGCCCAATTACTGAGTCATCACCACTGTCCCTGGGGTTTGCTTTGGCAGGAAGCTGGAGTCAGGAGCCAGAGGCCAGGGAAGAGAATCCAGGCACTCTGGTGTAGGATGCAGGTGTCTTAACCAGTATCTTAACTGCTTGGCCAAATGCCTTCTTCATGAGAGTATGTATACAATTACGTTCTTGTATGCGCTGAATTCTGTGTCCCCTTGACTCAAATACATCTCCCTTTCTGCTCATCACTGATGACTCTAGCACCTAGAACAGTACCTGGCACAGAGGTATCTGTTCAGTGAATGAGTCAGATCACCAGTTATTCATCATTAGTATTACAACTTTTTGTGGCTTTGTCACAATGGTATTTGACTGATTTTGTTACCACTGAGTTTAGTTACAGAATATACTCTTTCTCCCCCATAGAGTAAAAGTAACA